CACACACTCTCTCTCTCTCCCACACACACCCACACACCCCCCCCCTCTCTCTCACGGACCTTCTGACTCATTCTGCAGTTATTTACCGAGCACCTACAGTGCAAGGGGCCTGGGATAAAGCCGCGACCAAGAGCGCAGGGGTCTCTCCTGAAGCCACAAGACAAAGAGATGGGGGTGGGACAGGTAGCAGGTTTCAATGAAGTGGTCAGGGTGGGGCTTGAGGGGGAGGGAACAGCTGATTAAGACCGGAAGGAGGGAAGGGAGGCCAGGAGAGAGTTGGGGGGGGAGGACCTGGGGTGAGGCAGGGCTGTGAGCCTCCGAGGAGGGGCTCTGCTGCCCCTGCTGGCTGAAGACAGGTGTGTTCTAGGCAGAGGGAACAGAAAGTGCAAATGCCCCGGGGTCAGAGCTGGCCCAGTGTGGTCCAGGAAAGGCAGAAAGTCCAGTGGGCTGGGGGGAGGGGCTGCAGGTTGGGAGGTCAAAGGTGACTGGAGTTTCGGTAAGAGGCCCAGGACAAAAGAATTAACCTCGTGCTGCCAGTGCATGGACAGTATTTAAAACCACGGAACCAGGTGAGGTGGGGGGGGGGGGGGAGGGGGGGGGGGGGGGGGGGGGGAAGAGGGAGAGAGGGAGGGAGGGAAGAAGAGGGAGAAGGAGGAAAAGAAAAGCAGCCTGAGGGAGGTGGAAGCATCAGTCTGAGGTCCGGATACCAAGAGCATCAAGGACCCAAAGTCAGCAGGTGAGGCCCACCTGACTTCATCACAAGCGCAGACGCTGACCAGCCACCCCTCGCCAGAAGGGGGGCCTGTGCAAACTGTGGGGACGTCTCGCCCACCACTGTGCCTGGGGTGCCACTTCCATGCAGCACCCTCGAAAACCCTCCAGCAACTCCAAGCTCAGCCCACACTTCCCATCCCCGAGGGGGAAGAGGAACCTCAAATTCGCTCCAGGAAACGAAATCGAAACTTTTTAATACGTGAAAGGTGCCTCCAGCAAAAGACCCGATAAAACTGTTCTAAGAAAGGTGCTTCTTCTAGAAAGAGTTTCTTAGCCACAGGTGACCTCACTCTGCCTGCCTGGGCTGCCTGCTGGCAGCGGTTTCCAATTCCGGGAAAGGAGGCGGGACTGCGCTGACTGGGCACCCCCACCCCCACTCGGCCCCCAGCCCCATCGGTGCCCCCGGCGCCCCCTCAGGCCTTACCTGGTGCGGGTGCCACAGCGGACAGTTTCTGTCCACACTCGCTGCAGAACTTGGGGGCTTTGTCTCTGGAGACGTGCCGGCACGAAGGACACTCCATGACTCCAAGGTGGGGGCTGAGGCTGGTGTGCCTCTGCAGATCTGCAATCAGTCCCGAGGAAACTGCCGACTATATACTACCCTGAGCCACCTGTCATGTGACCACAGCCTGCTTCAGTTTCATTTTCTGGGAAAGTGAAATTACAGCGGCCCAGAAGGTCTCTCTGCTCAATTGAAACCAAGCCGGAGCCCCTCCCCTGCGGCTCACAGCCCTGCCTCGTCCCCTCCTGCGCTCTCTTGGCCTGAAGCCCCAGCACCCACTTCCCTTTCAGCTGCCCCTCCCTCCCCCCCCACACACACCCTCTCGGCTCTCCCAGGTTCCTGAGCTCGCCATCTCACAGTGAGTCTAAAACTGTCCCCACCCGCTGAGAGTGGGAGGCTGGCTGGGAACTATGGGGGGGCCTGGGGGGGTTCCAGTAGATATACAGCATGGGCAAAACCCTGAGATAAGACCTGGGATGAAGGTGCCCACCCACTGCGGGCCCCGGGCAAGGAGCTCAGAGACAAAAGCCCGTGGCTCACAGGTGACAGGAGCAATCGGTGAGGCATGCAGGACAGGGCGCTCTCACAGCACTGCGGAAACGCTAGCGGCCACTGGCTGAGTCAGAGCCCGCTGCAGAGGGCAGCGCGGGGCTAACAGGACCACCAGGCGGAGACCCCCACTAACCGCCAGGGGTTGCCCTCTGTGAAGCCCACACTCCCTTCTGTCCTTGACCATCTGGCCCACAGAACACCCTGTGGGGGTAGCATCACACCAAAGTCAGGGTGTGCTTGTCCACGCCGAGGCCAGGACTCGGGCCAAGGAGGTCCAGCCTCCGGGGGCCACTAAGTGGAGAGAGGACAGCGATCCACTGCCCACCCGCCACCCTTTCTGCTGGCTTGGCACCCAAGCACTCGGCCGGAGCAGCGGCCACGCCAGCTCCTGCGCCAGCTAGGAGGGCGTCCAGAGGCCCTCGGGCGGGCGCGCCCTGCTCCCGCCCCGCTGCCGGCCCAGCCTCCCGTGTCACTCGTCCGTGACATGGCTTCCCGGCGGCTGCCACTGGCTCGGTCGCCCCCAGATGGTGAGCTCGTGGGGGCAGGGCGAGGCCAGGCCACGGGCACGCCGTGTGTGGGGGTCCCTGGCTTCACCGCGCCCCTCCCACCACAAGCCCCGCTCTGGCTTTCAGCGACTCCCCGCCGCGCAGCCCTCGCGCTCAGGGCGCCGCCCCCCTCCCCGAGCCCCGCAGACCAGGAGACTCACCGCGGGGCTCGGCGACCCTCACGGAGGCGTTCCTCCCATGGTCTCACCCGCGCCGGAGGCCTACGGGCGGAGATGGCTCCGTTCAGTCAGCCTCCCTTTCTTCCCGACCAACGAACTTCAGCAAAACTCAAAGCCCGTCCCCCGGCCGCCACCCAGGAAAGCCGGCGCCGGAGCAGGTCCCGGGCTGGAGTGGGGCTTGGGGCCCGCACCCCGTCCGCACCCCCTCGGTCCGCGCCCCCCGCGTGGCTCTCCAGGCCACGCGTGGCCGTGAGTCCCCGGGAAGAGGGCAGCACCCCGCGCTCCGGGCAACGGGGTGATGTGGGCAGTGCCGCCGCGCTCCCCAAAAGTTACCGGGTAACAAACGCGGCGCCTCTTTTGCAAACACCCCTTTTCCGTTGCGGCCGTTGGCGAAGGCGCCGGATTCCCGGATGGAGCCCGGGTCTGGCCGCCCCCGGCCACTACCCTGCGGGCCGAGGCGCCTTCCTGGGGTGTCAGCCCGCGCCCCACGCTTCCCCGCCCGGGCGTACCCCGCGCCCGCGCCTCCCGAAGTGTCGCTGCGGCCCCGGAACGAGCGCCGCTCGCGCGCGGGGCTTCCGGACCTGGACGCAGCGAAACCGAAACCGGCGCCGCAGGAAAGGGCGGCCCGGGGCGGCCGGACGCCGCATCCCGACGCGCCTCACCCCGGACCCGGACCCGCCCCGCGGGGCCCCCGGCACCGCGCCCCTGGGACCCCGGCCTGTGCAGCGCCCTCGCGCCCACGGGACCCCGCGCCCGG